TTCTTCTTTTTTTAATTTAATTTGTTTTTCTTCTTATTTTTTATTTGTTAACAAAATTACTAAAAAAAACATAAAATACATTTTTATTAAATTGATTTAGGTTTTTGTGATTAATTTTTATCATTTTCCTTTTTTATATAAACTTATTTTTATTAATTTTTTACACTTAATAAAACATCAAAAAAAAAATTTAACTTAATTTGTTTTTCTTTCTTTAAACTTATTTATATAGTTAATAAAATACAAAAAAATAAATATTTTAATTTAATCAATTATTTTTTATTAGGGTTTACCTTTCTTTTTTCAAGTAAATATTTAGCATTTCATATTTTGTTAATATTATTTTCATAGATTATCATAGCTTTAATTAAATCACACAAAATTCGATTTGGTTGTATTGTTTGTTATTCAGACATTTCTATTTCATTTGATTCATCCCCATTTGTAACAATTGTACCCCCATTCCCGAACACTTTGTAATAGTGTAGAATTTCAATTCCCGCAATTTACTGTTTTCCATATACTGTATAGTAATTAGGCGTGTATGAAAAGATTCAAAAATCAATCGCTAGATGACCTAATCAAAGAATAAAATAACTTGAAACCAACACACATTTTCACACGCGCACCTATGGGGTAACCTCGCTCGTTGCCTCGGAAATACAATCATGTCCCTCGAATATGAGACACTTTAGTAATGACCCTTCAATAAAAAAGATCGTAGTCCCCCGATAACCCTCGATGTTGCCTTCGATTAAAACGATCTCGTCCCTTACAAAAATTGCTAAAGCGTCTCACAAGTTGCCTTCAATGATTGTAAAATTGACCCGCGCCTGTTCCTTCACATCCAATGGTGGGGTTTCTTACCAAATCTATGGTAAGATAGCACCATTAAAAGGAGGAAGAAAAGAACAATTTAAGATCTTTCGAGTAGATAGATTCGCTCTTAGTTACTCGCTTGCTCACGACAAAAACTCTTTACACCTACACTCTCATTTCAAAAACATTTTCAAAAAAGATATAACGTTTTGTATACGTTCTTATAGAGACGAGAACCATTGCAAAACCTCTTTTCAAAACACTTTTCGAAACACGATCCACAAACACATCTTTGAACCACTTTTCGAGAAAAAAACTTTGTATACGTTCTTATAGAGACGAGAACCATTACAAAGAGATTTTTCAAAATACTTTCAAAGCCCACACCACAAGCACACAATCAAACAAAAGCAAGTGATCTAAACGAGTAACTAAGAGCCCATGGAAAACCATGGATGAAAAGGGTGCTAATACCTTCCCTTTTCATAATCTACCCCCCGAACCCGAGAAATAATCTTGAAAGGTCTTTCCTGTGCTTTTTTACCTTTCCTTTGGGATAAAAGAAAAGTCGGTGGCGACTCTTGCTAACCGCACAAGTGCGATCGAAATGCAAAACATCAAGTCAATTCTCCCACTGCATCACAGAACTGGCAACTCTGCTGGGGATATGAATTATAAAAGTGGGGTTACCTTAGGGTTTTAGATCACCTTTACATGCTTATCTTGCCTGACTTGTTTTCTTTACACTTTGGTCCTATTGTTTGGGTTTGAATCCTCTACCCGGATTTGGGAAATATTCATAGGTAAATAGCAATACGTTGTGGAAACTGTGCGGGGTATACCGACATGGTCTAAGCAATAACTATATTAGTGAGACATATTTGTGGGTACTGGTAACCTTTGAGTCAATCAAAGAGAATATGGGGCGGCTGAGTGATGTCATGAAGCACTGATGAACTTCTAGAACCTTTACTTGACCAACTTGGCCTTTTAGGATGTAGTGAGATGACCGGCTTTGGTGCAGTCCGAAGTTGGTAGATACTCAATATTACACTCATTGAGGGTTGATTCCTTGGAATATTTCGATCGCCAGTAAAGAGGCTGAATTGAAACAATGAACAAGGAAACAATCTAATGATATTGAGCTCCTTAGAACCCGGTTACTATTTCTAGGACAGGTTGAGCCAACTAAACTTCAAGAGGGTACTTACCTATGAAATCCCATGCAAGCCTAAACTAGGAACTTGTGTGATTTTGCTTGTACATCTATACCTGTGCATAACATTATGGATATCATAAAGCATCATATGCATCCACTAAACATTTCAAGGATTTTTGGAAGTTCATCTTTGTTCTTGTTTTGTAGGCTATGGATTCACTTCGCAAGAAAACTATCCAGGTCAACCTTGTAAGAATTCCTCCACAACTCAAGGAGCTTGCTTCCAGGATTCCTGAGAACTCTCCATTCACCGAGAGGCATGGTCTCCTTCTCAACTTAGTCACTTCCAACACAGAGGAAGACATGATGAAAGTTCTTTTCCAGTTCTTTGACCCTTTGCATTACTGCTTCACATTTCCTGACTACCAACTTGTGCCCACTTTGGAGGAATTTTCTCAACTCTTGAGGATTCCTATTCTCAATCAACTACCATTCAACGGTACAGAAAGAGATCCAAAGCCATAAGAGATTGCTCAAGCCCTACACTTTCACTCATCTGATGTCACAGCCCATTAGGAGACTAGAAGTGGTGTCAAAGGTTTCTTGGCAAAGTTCTTGTTTGAGAAGGCCCAAAGCTGCTGGAATTCCTTGGACTTACAAGCTTTTGAGGAAATTGTAGCTCTTCTCATCTATGGGATGGTCTTGTTCCCTAATCCTGATCAATTCATAGATGTGAGTGCTGTCAAAATCTTCATGTCACACAATCCGGTGCCATTATCCTCCCCCAACCCACACCTTTTCAACACTATGCGCGCGTTTTACCGCATAGACATTACAGGATAAAATTTGGTTAAGTTAGTAACAGAGTCCACCGCCAACAGAGATTACAGATTTACAAATGGTATCTTGTATTACAAAGAAATGGTTTTCTTACGGGATATCCAAAACTTGCGCCAAACTATTCTTCACGAACATCATCACACACCAACTGCTGGGCATTCAGGGGTCCAAGCTACCCTTGCACGACTGAGAGTATCCTTTTGTTGGCCTGGCATTTACCTAGAAGTGAAATAGATGATTAGAAATTGCACAACTTGTTAACACCACAAATATGACACACAGAAAAAGAAAGGCTTATTACAACCTTTACTTGTTCCAAACAGAGTCTGGGAAGACATTACTATGGACTTTGTTACACATTTGCCAAATTCCTCTGGCCACACAGTTATATGGGTGTTGTGTGATCGGCTATCCAAATTTGTTTATTTCATTCCCTTGCCCATAACATTCATTGTGAAAGATCTAGCTGCTCGCTTCACGATGGAGATTTTCCATCTCCATGGCACTCCAAAATCCATTGTCTCTGACCGGGACCCTTTATTTCTTAGCAACTTTTAGAAACAGTTATTCAAGCTTCATGGCACGACACTTAAGTACAATATTGCCTATCACCCGGAGACAGACGGCCAAACTGAGGTCGTGAACCGTTCGTTGGAAACATACCTCTGTTATTTTATTGGTGACCATCCTCATCAATGGCACAAGTTTCTGCACCTAACAGAGTATTGGTACAATACGTCTTTCCATTTCGCCATCCAAATGACTCCTTTTAGAGCACTATATGGACGTGACCCACCAGCGTTACACCATTACTTGGAAGGCACCGCTACAGATCAATCATTAGACCTGACTCTGTCCACTCAAACAAATAATCATGGAGTTACAATCAAATCTTAGGAAAAGTAGGGTAACAATGGAAAAGAAAGCAAATATAAAAAGATGAGCTTACAATTTTCAAGCTGATGATTTTGTTTTGTTGAAACTGCAACCCTACCGCCAGTCCACCGTCTCTCATAGAATTTCGCACAAACTGTCCAAACGCTTCTATGGTCCCTTTTGCATCATTCATCGTGTTGGCACCGTCACCTATCTTCTGGATCTACCTTCTTCTTCCGGGATTCACCCTATTGTCAACGTCTCTCTCCTCAAACCCTATTATGGTGACCACCCGGATACAAATCTTCAACCACTTCCATCTTCAGATCTCATTGATTTCTCTGCAACAGCTGAAACCCTACAAGAAAATCAACAAAGAACAAATCAATTACCAGATCTCACAATATCACATGCAACCAAAGAACAAGAAGATAGAGTTACCAAGATTATTTCATCTTCAAAAGCATTCGCGTCTTGTAAACCACCGGTCGCCATCAGCAAGCCATCGTCTCCGTCTGAACGCATGACTATGGATTCTTCCTCACCAGACAGCGCTCAAGTGTTTCCCAAAACAAAAAATACTTCTTCTCAAGTGTTGTCCACTTCTCCCACTTCCCAGACTCTTCATAACCCCAGACCCACATGCGCTCCTTATCACCGTCCAAATGTCCCACCAAATTCACCTTTTCAACACGTGGCTCACATGCAACGCCAAGTGCATCACACCACTTATCCCACTTTCCCCAACGACTCTTATAAGGATGGCCTACAAGTGCAGCAGCCCATTCAGCCTTTGAACCTTGAGGACATGGTTCTTTATGGGTCAGAGAGTAATGTTATGAAGAAAATTAGGCCCATTAGAGAAAGAAAAAGATCAGTCCTTTTAAAAGATTTCATTTAAATTATTAGGTGCAAGTAGTAATATTTTATTTGTTATCTTAGACTTTATATTTTGGTTAGCTGGCTCATTACCCATTAGATTTATAAACCTATCTATATAAATATATGCTGACTATTATTTTGAGTAGAAGAGAAATTCTTTTATTTTATTATCCTCTTATGCAATTTTATATCTTAGATTAAAGTAACATAGTCTATCAGTGACATTCTAATCTTCCAAAGAGAGACATTTTCAAATTGAGTTTCGGAAGTTGTGTTTTAAGTTATTTTACTCCTTGTATTGACCACTACTCCTTGTATTGACCACTAATTCTAACTCTTGAAAATATATGCGGTTACCAAGGTTAAGTCTCAGCTGCATTAGTTGTTGGTGGGGTTGTTGATATCATTGGGCCACATTTACATAATGTTAGTTCATTGTGTAAACTTTTCTTTAACATTTAAAATTTTATTATTTGGAATTCATAAATGGAGTTCTCATCTATGTGTTCATATATTACATACCCCATACGGGATTTCATCTCAACCGTTTACAACCGCGAGGTTCTCTCTCTCTCTCTCTCTCATGGTTGTTGTTTATATTTTTGTTTTTCACCCCGTTACAGGATTAGGGTTTCGTCGTCACGACTGTAACTGTATTTCATGTATGATTTTTGTTTTTGTTTTACACTCATTTACAGGGTTAGGTTTCATAGTCGCGATTGTAACTGTATTCGAGTATGATTTTTGTTTTTGTTTTTCACCCCTTTACAGGGTTAGGGTTTCGTCGTCGTGATTGTAACTGTGTTTCATGTGTGATTAACTTTTTAATTTTGCATTTGTCTATATTCCTTTCAGAGTATGATTTGACAAGAATGCTCCTTTTTGTTATTTTTGTGTGGTTTCAGCGATGGATACCAATAATGGAGTACCGAATCAAGGTGATTGGAGAGGTCAATTGCACCCTGGATCACGCCAAAGAATTGTCAACAAAATGTAAGCTTTACTTTTCACTAATTTGATGACCTTTTGACTGTTAATGCATATATCAAAAGATTTCAATCAGGTTTTCTTACTTGTCAGTAATATTCCATTCCCCCGAATGGATTATACAAAGAGGATGTATTTCGTCCAAATTTTTGCTTATAATTCAACCCTTGTTTTTCATTTTTGTAGAATGGAAGCTATAAAAAAGCATTTACCCGTGTGTGGTCAAGAGGGATTGCTTGCAATTCACAACATTGCCCAAATGTTTGAAGACAAGGTTTTTACTATTGCAACAAGCCAGGTATATCTCTAATCAGAAGCCACATGGTTATTAAATTATAGTTACTAGCACAAACTCATACCATATTGAATGAAGATTGACTATTTATTCTCACATTCTCTAATTTCAGTATGATTATATAAAGAAAATATCTATGAAGATGCTTGCATTTGAGACTCAATTCCAGAGCACTACGGTCACCAATATAACATCATTATTGGATATGCTTACACTAGAGGCGGACCCCCAGGACACTATGGCCAACACTATAACATCATCTGTGGATAGGGAGACTGAATCCCAGGGCAATATGGCCAACAAGGAGACTGAATCCCAGGGCAATATGGCCAACAATATAACATCATCTTTGGATATGCAGACTGAATCCCAGGGCACTGTGGCCAACAATATGACATCGAATCAAGTTGCCCCTATCAATGAACTTCTTGACCCAGGTATGCATTGAAGACCTTTGCCACAGTGATCGTATTTTGGAAAGATTGCGCAAAGCATTGAAGAGTGGATTTTTACTTATTCAACAAACAAGGTATATCTCTAACTAGAAGCCACATGATTATCAAATTATAGTTACTAGTTATATTACTCACATACCATATGGAAAATTGACTTTATTGTGACATTCTCTAATTTCAGGCTGATTATGAGGCATTGAAATCTAACTACCAGGGCTCTGAGAAGAACTTTATAGCATTGGAGTTGGCACAACTAATGAAATGAAATAGATAGAGTCATGTGTTTATCTTGCGTGCTATGTCATAAACTCTAATGAAAAATGTTATTAGAAGAAGAGTCTTCTTGTGCAATTAACTAAACATGAAAATATCAGGAGCAACAAAACAATAAAAAAATATTCTTCCATCTATTAAACACCTCTGTATAAAGAAATAAGCATCAAAACATTTTTTTATAGCAAATTTCATTTTTTTTATTTTTAATATTTTGAGTATAGACATTTGTTCCACGATATAATAGTCTGAGACTTTCAACAAATATGGTGTCTAACAAAATTAAGATCATTGCCATGAATACTTAATCTAGACAGGACCACAACATTTTAGAGAAAATTAACGGATGTTGGAGATGTTTATGAAGAATTTGGATTAACTAGTGTCCTTTGAACAATGTAGGTACAGCTAAACAAGTTATTGTAGTTTTATGATTTTGAAAAAATGTTTCAGAAAAAATTATTTGGTCGCGCAGTAGAAGGTCACTCTCGTTAAGACATCTCACATTATTGTTTAAATTGTATAATATAAGTAAGTAGAAGGTCACTCTCGTTAAGACATCTCACATTATTGTTTAAATTATATAATGTAGACAATCAGTTACAATACTAGTTACAATACTTGTACGAAAATCACCTTATATGGCACATAGCAGGATGATCAATTCTACACGTGATCCTAGGAAGTAACTAACTGTTGGAGGCTTGGTCACCAAGAAAAAAGTGTGTGGTCAACAATTGATGTAAAGGATCCTAGGAAGTAATTGTTGGAGGCTTGGTCACCAAGAAAAAAGTGTGTGGTCAACAATTGATGTAATAGATGAGCACAACACAAAGCACAAATCAAAAATGTATCAGAGATACATTTCGACATCCATATTAGGATTAATCCGGATGAGCATCTCCATAGTAACTTTTATTTCAAAATTATGTGAGTTTTATGAAGATGCATATCTGAAATACACTTTGTAAGCTTAAACCGCAAATCAGTAACCGAAACATAAAGTTGAATATAAATATAATTAACATCAAAATACATAACATTACATAGATAATCATTAACATAAATTTAACATTACCTTTTATCAAGACATTGCAACATCATTAGAATATCTTCGGCCAATCTTGCAATTGTTGCATCCACTTCAATCAGAGCATTTGTTTCATAATGGTGAAATGTACTTCACATAACCCATAAGTCTTCATTCAACTCCAACTCAAAGTTGCTGAACTGAATCTTTCCTTCGTTGTCAATCGAAGATGAACGGTACTCAAGCTTCACAACTCTTCGATTGTATGAGTATTGTGGGAGACTCTCCAGTATGAATTTTATATCTACAAGAGAGGTATACACTATGACCATAAACTCAAGTGAAGGCTTCGCGTCGTTGAAGTAGACAAATGCAACATGCCAATATATGTTCGTTTTGATGTAGTATGATTTTGTGAACAATATGAGATGAAATTCCACATATTTATATAAGTTTTAGTTCATTATAGACCTTAAAAACCCTATCATGTATCACACGATATTCCTTATATGAATTCCATGACTCACCCTATTTGTTTTCCAATATAAGGGTTTCTACGAAGATGCATTTTCGAAATACCCCATAATTGGTAGTTTGTGTAATTAAAATGGGTTAATCTGGAAGTGCATCTCTAGACTTTCCCCACTGACTCATTGTTCACACGTGACCTATTTTATGCAGAGAAAATTTGTTAATAGGTTGAAACCAAATTTTTCTTTAAATTGACCTAATTGTTATACAATTAATGTTTACTATACATTACATATGTATCACATTATATCTAGATTACATCAGCGTCAATAATACATAAAAAAATGAACCACCGTCTAAATACATAGTTAGATAAAATAGTCACCGTCTGAACATGAATAAAATATTGTCATTTTGAAAGCCACCTAATACACATGATGCATCCGAATAGATTTTGAGATGACTAACTCCGAAGTGGAAAAATGTTTCGAGTAACCATATGTTGTACCTCAAATTATTTCCTTTCTTCTTCTCAAGATATTTCTCACAAAGATCTTCAATGATTCAAGCTTGCACAAGTATTGACTAGGTCAAACCATCTCTTCAACATTGATGCCTCAAATTAGGGTTTGAGTTTGCACAAGGATAGTTGGACTTCTAATGTTTCAAATTACTTCCATGGATCATCATGGATCCTCAAGATTTCTCCTGTCAAGTTTCAAGTCTTGAATTACCAAAGTTGCTCAGTCAATTGATCAGATGACCTAAAATCAGTTAGATTAAAAAAAGTCAATTGCGATCAACCTACAGTCAAACTTCAAGATTTTTGACCAATATCAACATTTTGAAGTCATCTGTATCATTTGATCAAGATCAGATCATAATTCACCAAGAAAATCGTTCAAATCGTCAAAAGGGCAAAATGGTCAAAATTAAGGTTTTGACTGAGAACGACCAATCTTTGACTTTTAACCTAGTACATTACTTATTGGTTTGAAACACGATCTCAAGGATTCAAGTACATCATTTTGACCTAATTGCATATTTCAATTCTTCCCCCGATTGACAGATGAAATTTGGTCAGCTGATAAAAAGTCAACTGTACACTGAAAAGTCAAACTTTGACTTTTAGGTCGAATTTGGTTTTCAAAAATCACATTTCATCAAGACAATTCAAAATATGGAATTTGATCATCAAAAGTCAAGAAAGACAAAAATCAAACGTTGCAAGGCTTAGAAATTTTTCTAAGAATTTGTATACTTGTTAATTGCTTCATGACATCTTTTCACTATAATTCAAAATAATTCAAGATGTTACAAATAATTCAAGTTATTACAAGGTGGCATTTTTGCAAGATTACAAATCCTAAGCTTTTACTTTGTTTGAATTTTTTCCCTTTGACTCAATGTCTAAACTTTGCCACTATGCTGTCTACAAAACAGACTTGTATCATGCTACAAATGTTGCTATCCAAGAAAGCCCAAAACAATATAAAAAACACTCTGTTGTACTGCTATAAAACAACCATGCATCAAGCTGCCACAACACTCCAAAATTGCTGCGAAACAGCTCTGCTATGCTACTACCAACTCATTCCAAGCCTGCATTATCTCAGTCCCATATTGCACAAAATTAGCACAGAAGAGCTGCATCAAAAAGTAATGGAACAGTATACCCAAACAGTTCAAAAACTTATTTGTTTCCCCCCTAAATCTTAGTCAAACTTCATCTATAAATAAACTATTTTCATAACACATAAGGGGTGGCTTAGAGAGAGAGAAGAGAGAAGAGAAAGACATCATTCTTTGTAAACTCTATTCATTCACAAATGACCGTTTCTGTACTGCCATTATCTTCACCTTCCAAACAAAAAAGAAAAACAGTACAACATAACTTGACTGAGTTAGTATGGTTCAACAGCTTGGAATAACTTCCTGGAGATTCAATGAAGCCATCACATCATCTTGAAAAGTATTTAGACTCAAAACACCAAGTGCAGTCTCAAGGTAAGTGTGATACGGTGGGAGAACTGACTATGGTTTTGCATTTTTTATTCGCAAATGTTTCGGTTGAGCAAGAGTCTCCACCGACTTTTTATTTTATCCTAAGGAAAGGTTAAAAAGCACAGCAAAAACCTTTGAGATGTTTTCTTGGGTTCGGGGAGTAGATTATAGAAAGGGAAGGTATTAGCACCCTTTCTATCCATGGTTATCCATGGGCTCTTAGTTACTTGCTTAGATCAAACTTGCCTTAATTTTCAATTGTGTGAAATGGTGCTATGTGTGTGTGGGTTTGGAAATGTTTTGAAAAGAGGCCAATGTGGTGGCAACCTTTGTAATGATCCATGTTGGGATGTATATAAAGGTGTATGTCTTTTGAAAAGGTTTCAATGTTTTTGAAAGTTGTTTTTGAAAGTGTAGTGATGTGTGGTTTAAAAATAGGCAAGTGTTTTGTTTTGCAAGTTTGATTCAAGTAACTAAGAGCTATCTACCCTAAATTTCTCAAAGATCTTTCCTATGTTTTAACCCTTTTTAACAATTTTGTTCCACCATTGTATTTGGTGGAAAATCTTGTGTTAGGATGTTAAAGGGACGGGCGCGGGTCATCGTTTAGACCATGATTGCAATGGTGCCAAGTATCTTTGGGCAATTTTTCCTTTAAGGGACTTGATCATTTTTTAGGCAACTTTTGAAAACGTCATCGAGGGACTATGATCATTTGATTATGTTTGTTTTGCCCAAAGAGACCTAACATGCAATATGGCCCATTATTGAAGGTAACAAGTGGAATACCCTAGGGGTGCAAGTGTGATTAGTGTTGTCCATTTTCATGCTTGTTTATCTTGAAATTAGGTCAAACTATTTTTGTTGTTTTTGATTCACATACAAACCCTAATTCTAACATGGCATAATTAGAAAGCATTAAAGTGCGAAAAAATAAAGTTCCTAAGTTATTACAACACAATATATGGGAAGGGGGGTACAAATGTTCAAATGGGGGTATTTTGACAAGGAATTTAAACCTAGACTATTACATCAATTTGGAATTATACAAGGTAATTAATATACAACAATTAAATAAAAATGGAATAAATATGCAAGATGCAAAAAATGTTTTTTATGTGTATGAAAAAAAAGGTATTTTTTTATGTGTCAAATAAACAAAATAAAAAGTATTAATTTTTTGGATTTTTTATGTATTTAGGGCAAAACCCTAATTTATTAAATAAAAGGTATTAATTATTTAATATGTACAATATTTACTAGTTATGTACAAAAATAAAATACAAATGAAGTATATTTGTCAAAAAGGTATTTTTTAATGTCAAATATTAATAAAAAATAAAATGTATATATCTTGTATTTTTAACCTAAATATACTAATATATATATATATATATATATATATATATATATATATATATATGTAAATATTTATATTATATGATAAATATATTAAATATATACAAAAATAAAATATTTAATATTTA